CTGTTATTTAGAATCTTGTAACATTTCCTACCAAGACCTTTTTATAACATTCTAACACAATCACGAAGAAACAACACTACTTTCTTAACCTTATACTTTTAACTACGCTTTGATGAATAAGTATAACACACACTTTGTAAACACTTTTGAAGAATTTTTGTTATTGGACTTCTCTTTCTTGAGTTACAATTCAAACTTAATATATTGTGAGTGCTCATAATTTTCATTGAAAAATTCTAAGACATGTAAAAGATGTAAAGTTCCAAAACATAAAATATGAATAAACAGTTTAGAAGAATGTTTGAATTGTATGAAAATTTAAATTGAAAGAGGTGGATTCGTTTTCTGGTGTATAGAGCCTTATATACACCCTTAGGAACCTCTATGATTAATGGATTCATAAGTTTGAAAAGGTTCCACGAAACTTTTCCAATCAAAATAGTGGTTCTCTTTAATGAAAATTTGTATTGCTTCAGGTGAAAATTGATTATCCAAACCTGAGCCAAAGTTTGTTTCAGGGTACGTAGAAGGAACAAAATTCTTTGTCTAAGGAAATAACTTGAGCACACCTTATTTTAGGGTCCAATCATTAACCGACCTCACTAGTTTAACATCTTTAAGCGAAGAAAAAACAAATTCAAAAAATCCCTGTCTAAGAGAGGTGACACCTTGTTGCCCTATCGAAGGCCATTACCCCATAAGCTTATGTTTTAGATTCACAACCATTAATGACATCGACTCCTTCGACCAAACAACTATACCATGTAAATGGTGTTTGCAAGCTTTGACTCCAAATTAGATTCATCCTCTGGGATGGTGATGGCAATCTATCCCCTTTGATACAAGGAATTGGTAATCGATTGATTGGTATATCACAAATAATATTTGAAACCACATATGTAAATTAGTTCTCAGTTTATTGGTTTGTTTTCTTTACAATTGTAATAGAAGCATGATTAGTGTGTTTTTGGAAATAGTATACGAGCTTCTATAGAGAAGGGTGAGGAGGAAAAAAGAAGCAATCACAAAAGAGAGACTCTCAATGAAAAACTAGTCGTTACAGCAGAGTAGTAGAGCGTTATTTCCTATTCTTAGAATCATACAATTCATGAATTTTATTTTACCATTATTTTCTAATATATATATATATATATATATATATATATATATATATATATATATATATATATATATATATATATATATATATATATATATAATCTTTATATGAGAACATGAGAATGAATTTGAACTATTGAATTAAAATATATTTGTAAAATTGATTATTAACTTCTCTCCTCTTAAAAGCGCCCAATTTTTTAAATTTTTGGCACATGATTTAGTCAAAGATATGATTTAATCTCAATAATTTTTTTTAAATCTGATGATCGTTATTCATTCTCACATTCTCATATAACTTATCTCAGGGACGGAGTCAAAAAATTTAGAATGTGGGGCATTATATATAAGTAATACTAAATTTATATTTGAGTGAAATGATTTTTCTATATATAATATATTAAATTATTTTTTACTTTATTATATTACTTTTAAAAAAATCACAAACAAAATACAATTAAATGCTTATATATTAATAATATGCATACTAATTAAATTATATTTATGATATGATATGTTATGTAACTTTAAATATTAAATATATATTATTTAAAAAATTACTTCTATAACAATTTCATTGAAAAAAATAAATATTATAATATATAATAAAATATGAATTAATAATGATGATCTATTAGTGGTTTCAACTTGCACTAAATTAAAAAAGAAAAGAAAAACAAGTGTCCAATTGTATTGCATTAAAAATACACTTGATTAGGTGATATGTAATAGATTGTGCATATATCGTTTACTTATGATTTTTGTTAAAGAATTCATTTATAATACTGGTGTATTTAATTGTACAATCAATTGGATTTTCCTCTTACGCGTGCCCCTATAAAAATATGTAGATCTAAATATTATATATTTATTATAGAAACAACCTATAGGAGCGGAACAAACATGTAAGTGTGAATATTATATATTAATAGAGTAATATTTATATAATTGAAACATTAATGGGAGCGTATGCCCACAATATTTATATAATTGAAACATTAGTGGGAGTGTATGTCAACATAAGTATATGAATAATTTATTCATTCTTATTAGAGAACATAATTTTTAACTTATTACAAAACATAATTTTTAACTTATTATAAAACATAATTTTTAGATTGAATCTAATCTAATGAATAATTAAATAAAAAAATTAATTAACAATTAGATTTGATACAATTTAAAAATTATGATTTTAAGTAAGTTAAAAATACTTATTTTTGGAGTAAATTAAAAACACTTACTTTTGAAGTAAGTTAATCCCCACTATATATACTAGCGTTTAGACGGGGATTCGCGTGTCCGTTTATCCATTTTTTTTAATGCATATAAAAAGATAAATGATATTTTATGTTAAAATAATTTTTTTTTAAAATATAATATGTAAAAGTTAATAATAAAAAATTATGTGTAAGTTAATAATAATAAATTATAGAAAAATTAATAATAGAAAGTTATTAAATAAATTACATAATAATACAAAGGTAAAAATAGTAGAAAAATACGTCAAACAAAACAAAATATTTCATTTATATATTGTATTGATATATAATGAAAATACTATTTTCATTTGAGAATGGTAAGAATAGTTATCAATGCTTAGATTAAAAATAAAGGGTTAAAACAAATGCATGTCTCTTTCATCATTTACGTTGAAATTCATGTTCAATTAAATTATGAAAGAGACACATATTTATTAAATAAATTTATTAATTTTATCATTATTTCAAGATAATTTTGAGTTAAAATTGACCATAAATCACGTTTGTACAGTACACTAACAAGATGCTAAGTTTCTAACAAATCTAATACTATACTACTAACTAAATTAATTTTCATATCTTTAGAGTAATTTGCATAACATTAATTTCATAATAAATAGTTAAATAAAGTATTGTTCCACTATTTTAGGTCATTCACATAATTAGTCCATTTCATTTTCAAATAGTTTTTGCATTCATATCATATATTCATATATTTAAAATGAGATACTAAAGAGTGTTCTAGGAGCATTGTTTAAAAATTCTAAATCAAAAAGTGTTATAAAAAATTAATCAATTCCAGTATGTTGAATACAAATATTAAAAAACTTTATCTTTTTATTCTTTAAAAAATTCAAATATTTAATTTTTAATGCATTAAATATAAATATTTTAAAATTTTAAAATTCTTAACGAATGTCCTTAGGACACTCATTAGCCTTTCTCTTTAAAATATTAATATATATTTATTTTTTAATAGACTTAATTGAATCTTTAGTCCCTTTATTTTTAATTTTTTTGAATTTTAATCTTCTCATTTTAAATATGATTCATTGATCCTTTTATTTTAAATATTTTGGGATTTTAATCCCCACCTCATTTGAGTCTCATTTTTATGATGTTGCAACTAAATTGATGATGTGGCAGAGATTATATGGCATAAATGAATTTTCACCTCATTTATAATTATTTTTTATTTTAATAGTAATATAAATTATTATATTTAATAAAAATTAAGATTAAATAAAATATAAAATAAACTAAAATAGAATTTAAATTTTTTTTGAAAGAGTAAATTGTTAAAATTTTTATATATAGAATTTAAACAATTTATTATTTAAAATAAATAAATAATTTCAAAATTTTGGATTTTTTTATTTATTTTTAAATAAATATTTCTAATTTATATTATTATTAAAATAAAAAAAATACTTACAAATAAGGTGGATATTCATTTATGCTTCATAACCTTTGCCACATCATAAATTTACTTGCCACGTCATAAATAATGAGACGTAAATGGGAGACTAATTAAATTCCTAAAAAAATTAAAATAGATCGGAATGAATAACTAGATTTTAAAATGAGAGGATAAAAAAATTATAAATAAGAGGACGAAATTGTAATTAAACATTTTTAATAATAATATTATTGTTAACCTATCACGTTCAACAAAATTTAATTTCAGTAGTGTTTTTTTTCTCTTGTAATATGCGGTTGAATATCCTTGTATTCATTTTAGTAATATATATCTTCAGTTTGCTTATAAAGAAAAAACAAAAATTCTGCTTAGGGTTTTCAAAAGTTTAAGGTAATTTTTTGAACTTATTTTGTGTTTCATATTAAAAATGTTTATTTGAATGCAATTTTTATAAGATAATTTTTTGAACTCATTTGTGTTTCATATTAAAAATATTAATTATAATGTACTTTCGGTTCATAAAATTAAGATTTATAACAAAAATCCAATTTTAAGAAAAATGAAAGATAGTTATTAGAAAAAATGGAAGAAAAAAAAATCATGAAAGTGGGACTCCCAAGCAAATTGTCTATTAAGAAATCTAAAAATATCTAAAAAAGGAAAATTGGTCTCATGCTAAAAAAATATGATAATAACATGTAAATCTACTATATCTGAAATAAAGAAATCCAAATAGAAAAAATTTGATTGTAGTGTATCAAATTTATTTTTGATTGATATTAATAATAATTATTAATATCAATTAATATAATTGTAGTTGGCATCATATTCAATAATCTAATCAAATAATTTTATTGTAAATGATTTTAGAATTGATATTACAATTTTCTTTTCTATTATAAATATTCTTGTGTAACTAAGAAAAATATATCAAACTAAAATGACTTTGGATTACAAGAGAAAAAGTTGAACGGAAAGATAATTCATTCATCCTTGATTTAAAGTGAGTTTTTCTTTTCTTCCACTTTGTATTAGTTTATTGTAATTGTTACATTATTTTGATTTTGTTGTTTTTTCTTCTCATTGTTTTTTCAGACAACATGCAATCTAAAGATGGTGTTTGCATTATTTTCTTTTCATTGTTACATTATTTTGATTTTTTTAAATATTTTTTTCTTCTCATTGTTTTTTTAGACAACATGCAATCTAAAGACGGTGTTTGGGATTGTAAGAGTTGTGAGGGTGTTGGGAGAATATCTATTAAAATAAGAAGAAATGATCAGTCGCTTAGAATTGGTTATCCCAATCAAAATACAAGAAATAATGAAGTGATTTTTGAGAAACCTTCATTCGTCGAGGATTCTAAGAAGAATAAAAAAAGAAAAACTAAGAATGGAAAATCGAGAAAACTCTTGAAGAAGCAAAAGAATGATTACAACAATGATAACATTGATCATCCAATGGAAGAAGAGCGACCTGAGCTTCCATTGTCTTTTAAAGAAATTATTGAACATATGGAAGGTACTGATGTGAAGTTGGTGATTCAAAAACAACTAACTAAGAGTGATCTAACTCAAAATAATGGTCGTTTATCCATCCCAAAAGGTAGGGTTATAGAGAGTTTTCTGACACCAACCGAGGAATCATGTTTGGATTATGAGCGTAAGAAAAAAGGAGAAAAAAAATGTAAAATTGCTAGTATGGTTATATCTATGTTGGATCCCGATCTTAATCTTTGGGAGGATATGTGCTTAAAGAAGTGGAAAATGAATACAATAGAAGTCTACAATATCACAGGTGGCTGGAACGAACTTGTTAAAGACAATCATTGGGAAAAAGACCAAAAGATAAAAGTGCAACTTTGGTCTTTTAGAAGAAATCTTAACCTCAACTTTGCATTAGTCAAACTTTAGTAAGCTACAAATCAACAACTAACCGCAAACATTTTTTTACCAAACAAAAAGCGAACTTAGAAATTTTTGTAGTTTGTTTTATTGGTAGTTTTTATAAGCTATTGTTTGAGTTTTCTCTCTAGTATAGTTTGTTGGTTGTTTTTGTAGACTCTTGTTTGTTATGTTTCCTTTTTGTTTTCTTTGATTCATCTTGTATCATCTAAAAAGGTTTTTTTTTCTTGTTTACTTTGATGGATTATTTAACTTTTTTTATTATCAATATATTATTTCGTAGTGATAAATATTTTAATCAATTAGAATAAATATTAATACAATCTGTATTTTAGAATGAATTTCAAGTTCACGTATTGAATGTGTGATGTCTTTTTTGCACTATATGATTTAAAGTAAATGCTTTTGTTCTTTGTTATAATTCAATCTTTTACAAGAGTAAAAAATTTATCATAAATTTTTTGTAAAATTAAGTCTAGTTGATTTATTTATTTTGTTATTTATACCTTATTAATCCTTTAACTTTTCCAAATTGTTTGTTTTGCATCTGTCCGAATTTTGGTGTATTAAATTTCTAAAAATAGTTATTCCACACATTAATTATGTCTATCTAACTTTTGAGTATTTTATAGTTAATTTTTTAAACTTTAAAATAATTTTAATAACAAAATTATGATTTTAAATAAAATAACTAAATCAAATCAAACTTTGTTTTTTAAATGGAAAGATAATTTTTTTTTAAAGAAATCTAAAATGATCGATCAAAACAGGAAGTTTGGTTAATTGTAATTGGCATCATATGCAACAATTGTATCAAATAATTTAAATGAAATGGGATTACAAGAATCATTTGAAGTTTAGGAGAAAAATTTGATGAACATCTTATTGATAATAATTAATATTAATAGAAATTGTATATCAGAATGAATTTTAATTCACATATTGATTAAGGGTCTATGCGATTTTATATTTTTATAAGAGCAACATGCATGATAATGTATGATATATTGATTGAAGGACTTTGATGATTATAATTGCTATCATTAAAAAATTATAAAACAAAGTCTAGTTGGTTTATTATTTATTTAGTTATTAATGGAATATAAAAATGAAAGTTTATTATATTCAATTTATATTTGAAATGAAATTTATAAAACTATTTTCATCTAACTAAATTTATCAATCGCATGAAAGTAAAAAAAAAAAAAAAAAGAAAAAAAAAAAAAATTTGGTTTATAATTGTAAACAGGGGAGTACTTTGAGTAAATTAGACATCTTTTTAATAAGCATATTTCATTTAATAATATTTGTTTTTATATACGTATAACTTTAGTTTGCATCAACCTCTTAATGGAATATAAAAAAGAATCATAAGACAGAAAAAGAGAATTGTTGATTTTTGTTAAAATAATAGAATTTAGTATTTTTTTTAAGCTTCCTTTTATGTTTTAAGAAATTATTTGGATCTAATATTAGTTCAATAAAATTAAGATTTAGAATAACAAATCTTAAATTTCTATAAATAGTTATATAAAAATGAAGATGAATAGTTATATAAAAAATAGCAAATTGTTTATGAAAAATCTATAAAAATTAAAAGAGGAAATCTAAATAGGAAGAGAGTGATAGTTGTATAACTAATTTAGTTGTGATTGATATTAATAACTAATAATAATTATTAATATCAATTAGTTTAATTGGTATTGGTATTTAATCAATAATTTTTTTAAGATGATCTAATCAATAATCATGTCAAATGATTTAACTGTGATTGATTTCTTATTAAATTTTATAATTCATTTTTCACTATAACTAAATAAAAGGTGTTGTTTGGTTAGTGAATATGAAAGGAAGTTTTAACTTTTTCTTCCCTTGCATGATTGAATGAAAAGGGTAAAAAAAATGATATATTTGTGATATTACAAAGTATCATAAAATATAAAAGTAATATAGTATAAAAGAAATTAGTAAATTAGAATTTTGAATTTATAAAATATTGTGTTTAAAAAAAGTAAATTTATTAAGAATTTCTTTTATAAATTAAATGTTATTTTGATTTATATCTTACTTTTGTTATTAATTTTTTTTTTCTCCTAATTTAATACTAGTTATTTTTTAGTGATAAATTTCTATTATATTGATCAATCTCTATATAAAAAAAACCGTGAGAATGACATTACACATTTAAATATAAATTAAACATAACTTGAGAACGAAGTTCTTTTACAATACATAAAGCTCCATATTTGTTAGCCATTGAACATTTGTATTGATAAATTTATGATCATTGAATATAATTTACTCTTCAAAGTCCCAAATCTCTACGAGACACAATACATATCTCATTGATTGATAATTTCTTGCATGTCAATAATATGTTGTATAAATTAAAAAATTAAGACTCCAACATTGGTAGAATTAAGGAAACAATTAGAGTTGTCTTAAAATTGTTGGAAACAATCAGAATTAAGACTCCAAAATTGCTGAGTTTACAAGATCAATGCAATTAGCCATACCTAAGCTATAATATATTCTCAACACTAAAAAATAAATTTCTTTTACTAGTTTATAAACTTTTTACATCAAATTTAAAAAAAAATGATGTCAAATGATGTCGTCAATAACAGAATAAAATTATGAGAAAAAAATTAAGTTTTTTTAAATAAATATAAAAAATTCTATTAAATTTAATAAAAAAAAAAGAGAAAAAGAAAAAAGAATAGAGAATTGTTTAAATTTGTTTTATTATTCAACAAGTAAATATAACAATTAACCTCTCTCACGCTAATTACGATTTTCAGATATCTAATGAGCTTTTACATAAGTTAACTTAAATAATTGGACTTATAAACAATACCTAATTCGACATACAAACAATTGGACTTACAAACAATACCTATTTTTCATATTCTCATATAACTTATCTATTATTACTATATATATATATATATATATATATATATATATATATATATATATATATATATATATATATATATATATATATATATATATATATATATATATATATATATATATATATATATATATATATATATATATATATATATATATATATATATATATATATATATATATATATATATATATATATATATATATATATATATATATATATATATATATATATATATATATATATATATATATATATATATATATATATATATATATATATATAATAGAACCAGAGACGGACATAGAAGTTCTAGAAAGTTGGGGCAAATTTTATATAAAAGTTTAAGGATAATTTATATTTACCCACCTTAAAAAGTTGGCTAAAGTTACTAATAGAGAAAATTAATTGAAAATCTATAAAATTTAAGTTATTAAATAAATAATTAAATATAATAAAATGATATGGCATTAATTGATTGGGCGAAAGTACACTATCCAATTTTTTTTAATGGATAGAAAAGTTATTCCCAAAATTTAACATTAAAAGTAATATATTATTTAATAGTCTTATATATATATTTTAATTTTATATATTAATATTAAGATTCACTTTGACTCTCTAACTTAAGAAGATCCATCTTAATCATTTAATTTTTGTCTAACTAACGATAAAAAACTCATAAATTAGTTGCTAAATTCACCGTTAATTATACAAAAATTATTAACATAGCACATTTTAAAAATTTAAATGAATAATATAAATATTTTTTAAGTTAATGGGTCAAAACAAACTCCAATACTAATGTACGAGAAGAAAAAAATATTAAACAAATTTATTAATCAACATGATAATTGTTTTATAAATATTTAAATATTATAAAATTATTAGTTCATAGTTTATTTATTTATATGTTAACATAAAAAGCACACTATCATAATAGGAAGACAAAAATCGGTAGAATTTAAAGTACAAACTAATTAATTAGATGATTAAGTAACTTAATATATAACATTAAAAAGATGTTGCACAATTATAGTGGGGCATGTGCCTACATGCTTCATTAGCTAGGCCCGTCCCTGAAAAGAACACCAATTAAAATCAAATTTTAAATTTTATATTTCATAACAAATTTGTTAACAAAGAAAATTCAATAATAAAACAAACAAAATATCAAAGTATGTAGTTAGAGATTTAACTACTAATTTTTTAATTGACTTTTACATATAGCAAAAAAATATAAAACACATATGCTAATGACTTTAAACATCCAAAGCTCAGATGAAACATTTTCTTCATCATTATTCAAAGTTGAATTTTTTGATGTTCCACTTCCACCTAATTCAACATTGTCACCACCACTTTGCACCACATTAGTAACAAAAACATCAACTTCCACAACAATGTTAACAATAACATCATATTTCTGAACATTAACTTTAGTTTGCACATTTTTTTCATTAGGATCGTTAGCTAACCATTCATCGTCTCTACACAATAGAATATACAAGAGAAACATCCAAGTGAAACATATAAGAACATACTTGTGTAAAGAATGATTGATTTACGAAAATGAATGTGAACAAATCAAATGACAGAACAAATGCACGTCGTCGATGAATGGAGTAGTAAACTTTGGTAAAACAAGAGATTAGGAGAGAGGCTTTTTTTCACAAGCTTTTATTTGCAAGATTTTTCTAAGTTTTTTCCAGAGCAATCGATTGCATAATCAAACTTTTACTTCATTTTGTCTACTGTTTTATAGTGCAACCGATTGACACAAATGTGCAATCGATTGCATACATGAAAAATCTTCTTATTTTTGCTATTGTTTTTGTGTGCAATCGATTGGTGTTTTCATGCTATCGATTGCTCAGTTCAAAAATTCAAATTTCAAGTGTTTTTTCGAGTGTGCAATCGATTGGTCCTTATATGCAATTGATTGCTCACTGAACGTTTTTGAAAAATTGTTTTGAAAAATTGCACCTCTTCAATCACTCTTTTATGAATTGTTTCCATTGAATCATGGCAATTGTTCATCATATTTTCTGAAAGTTTGCATGATATTTCAAAGAGGTGCTTTTGACATATA